GCCGAATTGGCGTTGATGAGCGTCGACTGAGCGTCGATCAGCGTCGGTTGGCGTCGACTGGTGTCGATTCGCAGGAGCCAACAGGATGGTCCAGTGGAGGCCAGTCCACACCAGAAGAAACCCAACCCTGAGACCCCAGGACGTCCAGTGGCTTCAGGCGTGGGCACGCCACGCTCTCCACCGCAGAACCGCCGAAGCCCAGGAGACCCAGGGGCACCCTGGAGGCAGGCAGGGTGCGCTCCTCTTGGCGTGGGCCTCCGCTGTGCGGGGAGCTCCCGCGAGCTGCCGCAGGACCCCGTGGGGGGAGGCGGGCCCCCAGGGCGGCGGCAGCGCCCGGCGGGGTGCGGCGCCGCGGTGCCCATCCCGGCCTGCGGAGGGCGCGCGGCGGGGGCCGGGCGCTGCCAGGGGTGTCCCGTGTGGGGGCTCCGGGGACGGGGGGCCGCATGCGAACCCTGCAGTCAAAAACCCCAATAAGGACGCGCGGTAAGGACGCAGGACCCTTGGAAGCCGAGGTTTGGATTTTTGGGGCGGCGGACGACGAAAACCTCAAGGACGCAAGAGCAAGGAAGAGCAAGGGCGCAAGGGACCCCCCCTGACCTTCCAGGGGGGCTAAAAAATAGCACGCGACTTAAGAGCCTCTCCCAGAGGTATGCTATGTCTTGGTTTTAGGCTGTTTCGTTTCGTTTTTTAGGTTTTTGGGCCGCCCGTGCTAAAAAGTAGCTCTCTGGAAGGTCAGGGATGCGAGCCCTACCCCTACCCCCCACGATTTCTGAGGGGGAGGGTGGGGTTCGCTTCGCTCGGGAGCTCTCGAACGAAGTGAACCCCACCCTCCCCCTCAGGAATCGTGGGGGGTAGGGGTAGGGTTCGCATGTGGCCCCCTACAGAGACAGGGGTCGATGCAAACGAGGGTCGGTCACAGCTCCGGATCCTGCAGGATCCTGCAGGGCCAGGGTCGCATTAACCTGGGCTTGGGTGCAGGATCCTGCAGGATCCTGCAGGAGCCTTCGCATTGACCCGGGTTTGGGTGCGGGATCTTGCAGGATCTTGCAAGATTCTGCAAGGCCTGACTGACCTGGGTTTGGATCGACCCCGGTCAGGAGATCCCCGTCCCTGGCCCAAGGGGTCCCCTGAGGGTTTGATGGCTTTTCGCCAGTCGACCTGCGGGGATCAAGCTGGATCAGTCGAGGTAGATGCCGGGACCCCCCACGTATTGAAAGATTTAATAGCTAGGTTTTTCGTCGTCGTCGGCGTCCTGGGGCCCTCGCCAGGCCCCGTGACCGTCAAAGACGGCTCGGGATGCAAATCTGGTCCCGGGGGAAGGGTCTGACGTTCTGCATGCCTAGCATAGGACAAATCATAACCTCGGATCTCCGGGTGGTGCAGGTCAGTCAAGGTAAATCCTGGTAACTCTGTGCGGATCCAGGCTATCAGTCCTGGTAAGTCAAAAGGTCTCCAGGGAGGTTTGGTGCAATGTGTGGCGAGGGACGACAGAAGTCGTCAAGCCCTCACCGAAAGATGCCCCATGAATCTCCGGAGGGCCGCCCAACGGCCACCGGAGCGCCCTTCTGAAGAGCCAGAGGGTCTCCGGCGGCCCCAATGTGGAGCGAAAAGCTCGGGACACCCTGGGCCAGGGACGCCTGCCCCAGACACCCTCCGATCTGACCTGATGCAGTCTGCGGCCCCAATGTCCATACTCCTCCTCCTCCTCCTCCTCCTCCTCCTCCTCCTCCTCCTCCTCCTCTCCCTCCTCTTCTTCCTCCTCGTCGTCGTCGTCGTCCTCCTCCTCATCCTCCTCCTCCTCCTCTCCCCTCCCCCCTCCCCCTCCCCCTCCTCCCCTCCTCCTCCTCCTCCTCCTCCTCCTTTTCTCCTTTTTCCTCCTTTGCCTCCTCCTCCTCCTCCTCCTCCTCCTCTCCTCCTCCTCCTCCTCCTCCTCCTCCTCTCCCCCGCCCCCCTCCTCCTCCTCCTCCTCCTCCTCCTCCTCCTCCTCCTCCTCCTCCCCCTCACTCCGACCCCTCCTCCTCCTCCTCCTCCTCCTCCTCCTCCCCCTCCTCCTCCTCCTCCTCCTCCTCCTCCTCCTCCTCCTCCTCCTCCTCCTCCTCCCCGGTTTTGGGAGATGTAAACAATGTTAGGTCTCTCAGCATGCGACGGGGATTTTTCCGCAGCCTGGAGAGTGTAATAATGTCTCCAAGCTGGACGGGCCCTCGTTGCGGGCCTTGAAACATGAGGCTTGAGGCTGTTTCTTTTTTGGTTTCGCATGGCACCTTCATTACAGCGTGCTTGAGGTGTCACTCGTACGCCATCGTTAGAAATGTTCGAGGACTGGCTAAAGAGTGTGGCCATCCCACGCCGAAGCAGACCTGGTCGTTTAATCATATCTGCAAGGGCTCCCACCCGACTCGAAGGGGCGTGTCGGTGGAGCCCGTGCCGTGGCGATAGGTGGACGGGCGCGATACAACACTGGGGATCCTCCCGTAATGAGATGTCGCCTGGTGGTGGTCCGCCTGTCCGCCCTTGTTTCCTCTTCGCAGTTCATGTCAAACAAAGTCCTCCTTCTCCTCCTCCTCTTCCTCCTCCTCAATCCTCCCCCTCCTCACTTCTCCTCCTCCTCCTCCTCCTCCTCCTCCTCCCTCCTCCTTCTCCTCCTCCTCCTCCTCCTCCTCCTCCTCCCCCTCCTCCTCCTCCTCCTCCTCCTCCTCCCCGACAGCGATGGCGTCAACGGCAACGGCGATGACATCGTGATCGCTGACGACTGGGGCCGACGAGCGCCGGCCGCGGGCGCAGGGCCGCAGGCGAGCTGGCGGAGCACCGCGGTCGAGAGATTGTCGATGTCGTGCTGGAAGCAGAGCCGCTGCTCGAGGCACAGGGCGGACGAGGCCGCACGCTCCCCTGCGTCAGCCAGCGCAGCAGCGGGTGCGCCACGGCCAGCTCCAGCCTCCGCAGGCGGCGCGCCGCCAGCTCCAGCCAAGCCGCCCGCAGCAGCGCGCCTCCGAGCACGACGTGGCATGCGCGCAGGCGCTGCCTCACAGTCACCGATGGTTGGGCCGCTGCTTGCATGCCCCAGGTGCGCTGTGGGTGGTCCCAGGTAGGCCCTTCTCCGCCTGGTGGCACCACGTGTGAGCCTCTCACGGAAGCTCGGTTGGTGTGCAAGCAGCTTCAAGCAGGCGGAGCCCTCCGTGTTCATCTTCTGTTACACGGACTCCGTATTATGTAGGTGCCCTCCGTGCGAGGGACGACACCTGCTTCTTTTTCCGAATTGGACCCCCAGCGCCCGCACCCGCGGTTGCTGGGGGCGCAACGGTCCCTGCCTCCTCCTCCTCTTCCTCCTCCTCCTCCTCCTCCTCCTCCACCTCCTCCGCCTCCTCCTTCTGCTCCTCCTCCGCCTCCTCCTCCTCTTCCCCCCTCCTCCTCCTCCTCCTCCTCCTCCTCCTCCTCCTCCTCCTCCTCCTCGTCCGCCTCCTCCTCGTCCGCCTCCTCCTCCTTCTC